AATCAAATCATAAGAGATATGCAGAATCAAATTGATCTTCTTAAAACTGAACTATCCTTGAAAAATAATATTATTGACACTACTCAGGAAAATCTAAGAGTTACTAGCTTATCAAATTCCTCGCTATCTACTGAAATCGATAAAGTTAAAGACCTCTTGAAGAAAGAAAAAACTGTTCTAAAACTTTGGGCTAAATCTCACAAAAATGCTAATTATGTCATTTCTTCTCAAAGACCTCATTCATGTGAGAAAATCCTTGGGGGAAATTTTGCTGAAGCTGAAAAAGTTTTGAAATCTCAAGAAAAAGAATCTGAATTTTATTCCATGAATGAATTGAAAGATAGTTTCAAAAACAAATTTATCAGCAACACTTTTGTTAATCAGAGTCTCATGGATGAATATTGTGTTACCGATTCTAATGGTGTTACTGAGTGTAATATTGAAATTACCGGAGTTGATCCTACTTCTTACCCTGCACATCTTGAGAGACCAACTCCTCTCACTGAAACTATTATCGCATTTCATATCTCAAATGGAGTGTTTCATGTTGTTCATGAACAACTTAAACATTATCCTGGTTGCAGTGTTTCAGTGCATCAGTCTAAATCTGATACTGATGTCAGCTCCTTATCCATCACTGATCGTAGTTCTTCTGACACTGAGTTCAGTTGTAATTCAATGTCAAATAAAAGGACTCACAGTTCACTTGGTGAATATTTCAAATCCAAATGTGTTAAATCTAGAAACCTGCTCACCAAGAAAAACTTTGGTACTAGAGTTTCTTACAGATGTGGTGACACCTCTCACAAGATCAGTGAATGCAAGTTTGATAAAACATCGTTAAGAGCTGACAACATCAAGGTTAGAAACGAAAGATGGACTCTTAAATCGAATTCTTTGAATTGTCTTCCTAAAGAGTGCTAAAATATATTGTCAAATAACTTTGTGAATGACCCATCTTACAATGGTTCAGTGTGTTCTAACTAGTTTCTCAGCACTGCAGGGTCAAGAGCATCTTTGGTACTAAGACAGCGGTTGCTCAAGACATATGATAGGATCCAACTCTCTCCTGGAAGACTATGTCAAGAAAATTGGTCCTGTACTAACATACGAAGACAATGGAAAGGGGTTTACTATAGGATATGGGAACATCAAGTGCAATAATGTGGTGTTTCAGAATGTTTCATATGTAAAGGGTCTCAAACCCAATCTTATCTCAATCAGCCAATGGTGTGATGTTGATTATGAAGTTCATTTTACAAATAAGGAAGGAAGAGTCATCAACACTGACAAGAACATTGTACTCTCAGCAAGTAGAAAAGATGATATATATGTTCTTGACATGTTCTCAAGCGACAAGGCACTGATGCAATGTTTCTTTACCAGTCTCAAACCAATCTCAGCTAGATTTGGCACAAAAGGTTCTCTGACTTGAACTTAAGAATCTATCTAAAATATCCAATCAAGATCTAGTTAGAGGTCTCCCAAAATTTAGCTTTGTCAAAGACAAGATGTGCTCGGTGTGTGAACAAGGAAAGCAAACCAAGTCATCATTCAAACCCAAGTCACGTTCTAGCATATCTGTTCCTCTTCATTTAATACACATGGACTTGTTTGGACCTATTCCTGTTCGTTCCCAAGGAGGAAATAAGTATACGCTGGTGGTTGTGGATGAGTTTACCTGATTTACGTGGGTGGTCTTCTTGAAGAAGAAAGGTCAAGCTGCATAGGAAATTATCTCACTGATTCGACAAAACGAGATGCTGACTGGTCTGAAAGTTAAGCAGCTAAGGAGTGATCATGGCATTGAGTTCCGAAAATCGAATCTTGAAGACTTTTGTGATTTAAAGGTATTGGGCAGAACTTTTCATCTCCTCGCACGCATCAACAAAATGGAGTTGTTGAACGAAGAAATCAAACACTGATTGAGGTGGGAAGGACCTTAATGATTCATGTTGGTCTTCCTATGTCGTTTTGGGTTGAAGCTGTTAATACAACATGTTATACTCAGAATCGCTCTCTAATTCATAGGGTTCACAAGAAGACACCATATGAGATTCTGAAAGGTCGAAACCCGGATGTATCCTTCTTTCACGTGTTTGGATGAATTTGTTATATTCTTAATCAGCGTGACCCCAGATCAAAATTTGAGCCTAAGGCTGACAAAGGTATTATTGTTGGATATTCATCTATTTCAAAGGTTTTTCATGTTTTTCATGTGAATAGGAAATGCATTGAGGAATCCATTCATGTAAAGTTTGATGAAGAATCCTACACTGATGAAAAAGTAGCTCATTCCCCTTCTATTTTTCAAGAGCTTCTCTCCTGTCCATCTGATGAAGTATCACATACTGAAGAAGAAGCTGTCATTCTTGATCCCATCGTTCCAGACCCAAGTCCTGTCAATCAAGGCACTGCAGTCAGCACGACAACTTTTTTGTCAGATGCTGATGAAACCGTTGAATCTGAAAACTCTCCTATAACTGATGTTCCTTTCATTGATAACTCTTCAGCATCAAACTCATTTGAATCAGCTCCAGAACATCGAGATCACCCTGTTGATGAAATTATTGGAAATCTTCATGATGGTGTCCAAACCAGATCTCGTGTATCTAATAATTTTTGCATGTATGTTAACTTTGTTTCAATGATCTTACCATACAAGATACACTCAGCACTTCAACACACTGACTGGATTAAAACCATGCAGGATGAGCTGAATGAGTTCAAAAGGCACAAGGTCTGGACTCCTATTCCCAGACCATCAGGAAAGACCATTATAGGAATACGTTGGGTCTATCGAAACAAGGTTGATAAAGTTGGTGTTATTACTCGTAACAAAGCAAGACTTGTTGCTCAGGGGTTCACTCAAATTGAATCTATTGATTACGGGGAGACTTTTGCTCCAGTTGCCCGCATTGAAGCAATTAGATTGTTCCTTGCATATGCTTCATACATGAACTTCATTGTCTACCAGATGGATGTCAAAACAACATTTCTTCATGGTGTGTTAGAAGAAGAAGTGTTTCTCAAATAACCCCCAGGCTTTGAAGATAAAGAGCATCCTGACTAATTGTACAGACTGGATAAATTTGCATATGGACTGAAGCAAGCTCCCAGGGCCTGGTATGAGACACTGACATCATATCTTCTTGAAAATGGCTACAGAAGAGGAGCAATTGATAATACACTCTTCATCAAAAACAAAGGCTCAGACATGATTCATGTTGAAATTTGTGTCGATGATATCATCCTTGGCTCTCCAAATGAGAAGCTGAGCAAGGAATTCGCTGAGATCATGTCTCAAAGGTTCGAGATGAGCATGATGGGGAAGATGACCTTTTTCTTAGGACTTGAGGTTTAGCAAGAAAAATCAGGTATCTCAATTTGTCAAAGTAAGTATATTGCTGACATGCTTGGTAAGTACTCTCTCAGCGACTGCAAACCAATCTCTACTCTGGTGTCCAAGACTGATAAGCTACACGCTGATCCCACCGGCACTGATGTTGATCACTCTCTTTATCGAGGAATGATTGGATCTCTTCTCTATCTCACTACAAGTCGCCCTGATATCATGTTTAGAACCATTCTCTGTGCTAGATTTCAAGCTAATCCCAAGGAGTCTCATCTCATTGCACTTAAATGTATTTTTTGATACTTAAATGGCACTCAGAACTTGGCATTGTGGTACCCTCATGACTCAGCACTTGAACTCTTTGGATACACTGATTCTGACTATGTAGGATGCAACTTAGACAAGAAGAGCACGTCAGGTGGATGTCATTTCCTTGGAAATCGACTAATCAGCTGGTGTAGCAAGAAGCAAACCTGAGTAGCTATCTCCACTGCAAAAGCTGAGTATGTTGCAGTTGGGAGATGTTGTGCTCAGCTCTTATGCATTCAAAATCAGCTTTCAGACTATGGGCTTAAATTCACAAAGACTCCTATATACTGTGATAACACTAGTGCCATTCAGATCACACAGAATCCTGTTCAGCACTCAAAGACAAAGCATATCGAGATCAGACATCACTTCATCAGAGACAATGTTAAGAAGGGCAAGGTTGATCTAGAACATGTCAAGACTTCAGATCAACTAGCTGATATTTTCACCAAGGCCCTAGATACTCAAACTACTACTTACATTATTGGAGAACTTGGAATGATCACTCTGGATTAAAAAAAAATGTTTTACTAATGTTTGCTATTGTCTTATAAACTGATGTATTTTTCTTTTTTGCTGATGATGATGTGTTGATGATGTTTTCCATGCTGAGTACCTTGTATGATCTCTTATCTCTATCTCTTTTACAAATCTTCTAAACTAAAGTTGAATGATTCACTGTATTAAACCATACACTGATAACAACTTTAAACTCTTTGCTAATGGTTAGACAAAACACCAAGATCTATCACAAGCGACTATCCCTTCTTACCAATCTCACACTGATTCTTTGATTCAGTGTGACAAAACACATGATGATGAGAGTCTAACAGTCTTTGCCGATGGTTAGCCCAAAACACCAAGGTCTATCACACACAACAATCATCTCTTCACCTTCACTCAGTGTCTAATGATTCAGTAAGAATCACCACTCTCTAATAAAGACTCAACGCTCTGTATCGATGGTTAGATAATTAAACCAGTATCTATCACACGCACCAACCACCTTGCTAACCCTAAACATGCAAGTTGTACCTTGAATTGATGACATATTATCTTTCAACATGTAACTTTTAGTGTCACTGATCTCAGCGCTTACGCAGACACTTATTGTTGTTTCCTCTTCATTACAACGACTTATTTTCAATGGGTATTTTTCTGGATTTGACAGTTTGTTAAGATACACAGTTATTTTCGAAAAAGATAATCATTACCTTTTTAAAAACTATTTAATCCCAAATTTAAACCTCATTCACCACCTCTCTCCCAAACTTTCATCCCACAATTCAATTTTCCTTCTCTTTTCTTCAAAACCCTAAAATCCAAACTCTCTTCAATGGCGGCATCACTGTTTACTTTCTCCTCCACCTCAAGAAGAGTCATCCCAGCTCCAAACTCTCCTCCTCTTCCCATATACATCAAAGCCACAAATGTCGTCTTCAACCCTGATATACCAGATGTTCATCGCGGTCTTGGAATTGATGATTTTGTCAATTTTCTAGTATCTTGCAGACTTCGATATGCTATCAGTGAGGTTCCATCAGAGTTCTTTCCCGAACATGTATGTGAGTTATATTACACGGCAACAGTCAATAATGAAAACAACATCATCTCCAGCACTATTGGGCATGGGCGTCGCTCAATTTTCATCAACGCTGATCTCCTCCGTACTGCACTCATGTTACCAATTTTCGAACCATTCTCTGAGCTTCCAACTATTGAACGATGTCAACGCCTCTTTGACCAACTGGGCTATGATCACTCCAAGGCTGGTGCTCGACCAGCTCTCATTCTACATCAATGTATGACTCCTGGATGGAAGTTCTTCACCGGGGCACTTTGTAAGTGTGTAGGTCACAAATCTCACAGTGGTGATCAACTGAGTGCTTTTGAGCAACAAGTGGTATGTTCGCTTCTCCTCAACAAACGTGTTGATTATGGGGCTTTCTTCTTCGATCAGCTTGTCCAACTTCTTCGAGCCAATGTAAGAGCTGATTATGTTCCATTTCCATGCTTGATTGCTCTTGTCCTGGATAAATTTCATGCTGAAGCCTATTACTCACACACTGGAAACCCCATCCAATGCTCACACATGTCAGTACGAATGTATTAGGATGATCCACTGGCCAATGACATCGGCATCTCTGATCGGATGCGAGAATGGATCGCGAATCCATATACCGTTCCTTCACTAAACGCTAACATTGACGAAGGAGTTGCTGATAACGATGAAGTTCATGCTGAAATACAAGCTTAAATACAAGACAGTGGTCATATCTCTCCTCAACTTTCCCATCATACTATTTTGGTCACTAAAAGGTTTCATTTAGCTCATGAGGAGTCATCTGCTCAGGGGAAGCAACCATCTCAGGTGGAGCAACCATCTCAAGGGGAGCAACCTTCTCACAGGGAGCAGCATCGATCACAAGAAATTCCAGGTACACAGCTCATTCAAATTCCAACCTCAGGGTTTAATGAGCTTCTTACACTGACTCGAGATATGAGTCAGCATCTTCTACGTATTGAAGCTGATGTAAACCAACTAAAGGGAGTTATTCTGTCAACTCCTTCCCCTGGCCCAAAGGATGATGATGGTCAAAAAGGTGGAGAAACTGATTCTGTTCATAGAACCGAGCCACCATAGCCTGAGCACGAGTCTGAGAGACTAGCAGAAACAGAAAAGCTTACTGAAGAATGTGAACATGATGATGAAGATGAACATGATGATGAGTGTCAGATGGTGGACATGAACTTCATAGATCCCATTGTGCCAGTTCAAGGTGAAAACTCAAATGTAGTTATTGAGGATCTTGTTCCTTTATCTCGAAAGCGAAAGGCAGCAGATACTGAATCATTTGATTCACATGCTGATACTTCTCCTCCTAGCAACAAACATAAGTCCATTGTTAGCATATCAAATCTGGCAGGTGAATGGAATATGACCCCTGATCAAGTTAATCAAATCCTTGATGAAGCCAATAAAGCTCAGCTTCTAAAGAATATTGCTCAAGCTGACGAATCTCTCATTCAGCACAAACTTCAGGCAATGGGATCCTTTGAAGCTTAAATGCAAAGGTTTCTAGAATATCAGTCCAAAACTAAATCTTCACAACCACCTTCCAGTAGCAGTAAGTCAAGGACTGGTAGTGCTCTTGATAGGATCGATCGCAAAAGGTTTCAAGATGTTTTCAAATGAAGAATAAGCAATGAGAATATCATCAAAGTTAAAACCTCAAAACCTCGTGACAAGAAAATCCTTACTTTGTTGATCACTCGTCAAGGTCCTCAACATCCGTACACCCAAGTTATAAAGAGAGACCAGATGATTAGATACGGATACTATTAATGGATGGAATTGCTCGAGTTAGCATCCAAGCAAACTTCAGCTCTTTCATCATAACTGACCTGTGCTCTTCACTTACTGATCAAGAAAGTTCAGCATCTTGATGTTGTTCCTACAGAGCATCCTCAGCAGCAAGGCCCAAGTTCCTCAGTTCCAAGAATCAGAAGAACTAGATTTTAAGTTGATAGTTAAGACGTATTGGTTCTAAATTTTGGTGCTAAAGAAATAAACAACTCTCTTCGTATTGGTGTTGAGCCGGTTCAACATAAGTTCCTCTCTGTTTTTGAACATGGAATGTTTTATCTTGATAAGAACAGGAAAATGTGTTTTCAGTGTACTACAGAAACTCCAAGGGCTCCAACAGAACATCTTGTTGGTTTAAGACAAATGTGCATGAGTCATCAAGATCTCTCTGGAGAGTTTTATATATTGATTGCTATTGAGTTACTGAATAGAAGACAGGAGTTGCTGGATAGTCCTTACTGGCCAGTGAAAGTAGAAGCTGAAGCTGAGTATGAAGAATTTTTGTTCAGGGGTGTTCTAGTCTAGCTGGTTTTGAACATCATCATATTAGGGGAGATTGTAAGGTCGAACCTTATAATATGATGATGTTGGAGACTGATCACTTAGCATCAGCGTATAATTCAACGTCAGCTTCAGCATATTAATTACTCAGTGTATAGTTTCATATTCAGAATTTTTGTAACAGATTTGGTACTTATCTAGTTTCCATAGTTTTCGTCTATTAGTTAGTTGGTATATCCCTGATTTGTAGGGATTGCCTAGATTAGTTCTATATAGTCTTTTGTACAAGTTTGTAAAAGGGCATCTTTCACAAACCCTAATAGCCGCTTTGTGCATTCGATAATCTCATTGTGAGATTATTATTCTTAGTGAAAGTCTATCTTTGTGAATCCTCGTTGTTCTTGTTTATAGTCATTGTTTGATAATTTATTTGATCTTAGGAACTTTTACCTCTTCCTCGAATAGACGACCTTTTCGATCAACTTTAGGGAGCTAGTTACTTCTCAAGGATAGACCTTAGATCAGGGTACCATCAGCTACGAGTTCATGAGAATGATGTTTCCAAGACAACATTCAGGACTCGATATGGGCATTACGAGTTTGTAGTAATGCCCTTCGGTCTAACCAACGCACCGGCAGTGTTCATGGACCTGACAAACTAGGTGTGTCACCCCTTTCTGGACAAGTTTGTTATCGTGTTCATTGACGACATACTTGTCTATTCCAGAACCGAAGAAGATCACACACAACACTTGAGGTTAGTATTGGAAACTCTTAGATCATAAAAGTTGCACGCGAAATTCTCCAAGTGCGAGTTCTGGATTCGGAAGGTAACTTTCCTTGGTCACGTGATAAGCGAGGAGGATATACACGTGGACTCGTTCAAAATCAAGACGATAGAGAATTGGTCAACACTGAAGACACCCATAGAAATTCATCAATTCTTGGGTCTTGCTGGCTATTATCGCAGATCCATTCAGATTTTTTCTAGAATCGCAAAACCCCTAACCACTCTGACATAGAAAGGTGTACCCTTTTGTTGGAGTGAAAAGCAAGACAATGCATTCCAAATGTTTAAGCGAACCTTGTGCAGCGTACCTATCCTATCCTTGCCCAAAGGGACAGAGGATTTCGTTCTCTCTTGTGATACGTCGAATCAGGGCTTAGGGTGTGTGCTTATGCAGAGAGGAAAAGTTATCGCTTACGCCTCGAGACAGCTGAAGGCACATGAAGTTAACTACACAACTCACGACCTGGAGTTAGGATCAGTGGTCTTCGCACTAAAGATTTGGAGACACTATCTCTATGGAACCAAGTGCACGATTTTCACCGACCATAAAATCCTACAACACCTCTTCAATCAGAAGGACTTAAACATGAGGCAACGGCCATGAGTAGAGCTGCTCAGTGACTACAAGTGCGAAATCTGCTACCAACCCGGCAAGGCCAATGTAATAGCAGATTCCCTTAGCCGAAAGGAAAGCTCAAGCAGCAAGGCGAGAGCACTGACAATGACCATCCATTCCCACTTATACGCACAGATCTGAAAAGCCCAGTTGGAAGCCCTAAAACCAAAGAACGTGTTGAACGAAGCTTTGAGGGGAATGGGTAAGAAACTTGAGATCAGAGGTGACGGAGTCTATTGTTTCATGGATAGAATCTGGACCCCAAAGTTTGGAGGTTTCAGGGAAGTTGTCATGGACGAACCTCACAAGACTAGATACTCTGTGCACCTGGGTTCAGATAAGATGTACCTGGATCTCAAGAAATTATACTGGTAGCCAAACATGAAAGCCGAAATTGCTACCTTTGTGGGCAAGTCTCTGACTTGCGCCAAGGTGAAGGTTAAGTATCAGAAGCCCTCGGGTCTGCTCCAGCAGCCCGAGATACCTGAGTGGAAATAGGAGATGATTACTATGGATTTCATCACCAAGTTACCCAAATCTCCGAGTGGGTATGATACCATTGGGGTAATTGTTGATCGATTGACAAAATCTGCTCACTCCCTACCGATTAAAGAATCAATCAAGATGGAAAGGCTCACGCGAATCTACATTCAACAGATAGTCCGACTGCACGGTGTGCCTGTGTCCATTATCTCCGATCGAGATTGCAGGCTTACCTCAAGATTTTGGCAGTCCCTTTAGAAAGCTCTTGGAACTAAGTTGTATATGACCTGTCGAAGTTTCACGACAGAACCGGCAACGCTGATTAACGTAAAAAGTGAAATTTACGTTAGAGCGATATTTAGCCTTAGTGATCTAAATGAGAATCGAAGACCTCGTTGTTAGTATCAAAGCGATAAAAAGTTAGGCGAGAACGAACGTCAAACGAAGAAGTTATGAATTTACAACGAAATTTTCTGTCCCGGCCAATTAAAAATAAATAATAAAAATAAATTCAAAATTAGCCGACAGAGTCTAAACGAAAGTTGTAGAGCGTAGTCTCACCTTCACGTGGATATAAAGAACATCGAAAACGGAGTTCGTATGAAAGAGATATGAATTTTCGAAGTTTATTAAATAATTAATAATTAAATTTAATTATTAAATATCGGCCTTATCCGAAGACGAGTCACCGGACTCATCCGGAGTACGCCCAGCGTACTCGAGTACGCCCCGCGTACAGCGAAGATGTCGACATTCGCACTCGAGGACTTCGGATGACGCATGCGCTTACGATTTCGGAGCAGTACGCCCCGCGTACTGCTGTACGCCCCGCGTACGAGGAGGTTCCAGACTCCTATAAATAGGATGCGAGGCTGCCGAGTTTCTTTGCTATTTTTCTCCATTCTCTCTCCCGTTTCACCTCGATTTGCGTGCCAGAAATGCCCCGAAGCCCCGGTAATATCCCTGAGTCCCGAAGCAAGTCTCGTGATCCTGAAGATCCCAAGAAGTGCGGTTTCCGAGCCGAAGCTTTGCCCGCGAGAAGTTCGATTTTTGTAGATATCTTCCAGATCTGCTGTGGATTACTACTTTTGCAAGTCGTAGTGTTGTCTGATCATCTTCTGATCAAGTGAGTGTATACTATCTTTCATAAACGCAATGATAATACAAGTATGGTTTGAGTGTATTAATTATATTGTTGTTTATACGTGTGAGTGCATTGTTACTTCCTCCAAACGTATAATTATGAAGTATTTTATATGAGATACGTGTTACGTGTATATTTTATTGTTATGTGTGTGAATGTATATTCACTTTCTTCTATTTTACAGATCTGATTATTTCTATACGAAATATGTGTTATGTGTGTCTGCCTCATCTGTTATATGGAAAATGTAATGATCAAGCATGCTATATAGGTTTTGAAAATATGTATAAAAATGTATGTTTTTATCTACTAAAATGTTGGGTAGAACATGGGTACATAATTGGTGTGTAATAAACAGATGAGAGGCCTCGTTGTTGTTTTGATCCAGTCATCTAGCGGAATTTAGATGACGACCACAGACTTTTCTAGATAGTCCAGTGGAACACTAGTAGGCTCATAACCTGTAGGTGTTAATGAACTTGGGTGTTCATTCGTTGTATTCCATCCCCCTCATGGTTACCTTATTTGACTTATACTGCTGAGGAACCCCCGCAGCATGTGTTGTCACCCCGATGAAAATATTCTTAGATTAGGTCCCTTGTGTTAGTTATTTTAGGGACATAAAGTGTGAATAACGGGAATAGGTAACTAGGTTATTGTTGGTTGATAATAATTAATTTAATTATTTGTTGTGGGTTGAAAACCCTATATGCTCACCAGGCTCCCAAGCCTGACCCACTCAG